TTTTTCGGCCACTCTTTTTCTTCCATCCGCCCCACTCTCTGGCCGCCCTCGTATTTTTTTTGGCGTTTAACAAGTCGATGAAGCGAGCATGGTGACCGAGGTGCTGAAGGGAAAGGGGAATGGGAATGAAGAATGGATAGAAAGCGCGGGAGAATCGACTGAAAATTTTGAAGATGTCGTTAGCGCGATACGGATCATTTCGCGAAAGGAATTGAGGGATTTCTGTCTTTGAACAGTTATATCGGTCTGCTCGTGACACCGCAGGCCAATTTCTCGATGACGTCTTGATAAAACCTCTCGTGACACCGCAAGCATCTAGATCTAATTTGCTCCTGGGGGCAATTAATCTCTCAAGATTCTTAGAATTGAAATAAGACGATGTGCACATCGGTTTCTTAAAAGTAAAACAGGAGAAAATGAATTGGGCGGTCGCGTATATAAATACAGCCCTGCCTGAAGAACCATCGACGTCGTCGACTTGCGCCGTTCGGACGCACGGCGCCAAAATCGATCTTGAAAAGGGAAAGTGTTAGCGACGTGACTTCACATACACGCATCACACACGAGAAAAATCGCTGTATGAAAGCCGCTGGCCAAGGGCGTTCACATATTAAAATCCAGGAAGTCCCTGCAGGCTCCCCATCTGTTTGTCATTCTCAGAATGAGATCGGTGTAACGACGAATCGAGAGATAAAATATCTCTATTTTCCTTGATATCTTCACGGCCGGAATTAGAAATTTCATATCCGCCGATACCTTGGATTATCATATCAAAGTAAATAGAGAGAAGGTACATTCTGTCGGTTGCAATTTTGGCATCGATCATATTTAACATAAAGCACTTCGAAATGCTGTTATCAGTCGTCCCTTTTCTAATGTATATAATTCACGGATAAACTGTAAACGTTTTTATCTGTTCGGAAAATTTGAATGGTGAATTATAGCTCTTACAGCATTAGAATTGTTTTTCGGAGTAATAGATTCAGTTGCTGACTGATATTTATTAAAGAATGACGTGTTTTAGGTGATCTGTCCGATAAGTTTCTATATTATTTTTATTTCGAATTTTGTTTGTAGAAATAAAAAAAAACGTCGGTCTAATGTGATGTCGCGCGTTCGAGATTTGTTCTATCTAAACGAATCTTACAATTAAAGGTTCCACGTATCGGAGGTATTCGGAGGGCGGGAGGGCATGTCGTTGCGCGATTCGACATGAGGATGAGGATCGCGTGTAGGCAGGGTACCTGCGCGACCGCGTGGCACGTGCGTCGCTTTCCATTTACGCCTGCGTGTGCGTGACGCACGCACGTGCGCACGGCGCCGGCCGAGACGCCACACACGACGATGTCTAAGTGCGATTTTAGGGGGAGAACCTCCCAGCCTTCATTATCATTATTCAACGATGAAAAATATATTAATAAAAAGCTTTATTATGAGAACTATAATTTAATTTTAAAAAATTTAAGAGAAATTTAAAACACAGAATTGGTTTTCTGTATTTGGCACGATTCATGAGTTGTATTCGGGATAGAGGGATGACCTAAAACTAAAATTTTAAATTGTTCAGATATCGAAGTGTGCTGACATAAGCATACGCATTCCAAGGGAGGATCTATGCATTTTAATCGCAATGATAGCGTCATATCGGTATGTGGAAAAGACCGATGTGTCGTCGCCGTGTGCTATCTATGGATACGGTAGATAGATAAGATAAACACATGCAACAGGGGGTTGTTAATATTGACACGGTCGACTCTAGCTAGAGCCGCCACCCTATTTCCACAGTGTCGACGGCGCGGCGTGTATCTGCGGCAAACCGCCGTGCGTCAGCCAACTTCCAAGTAATTTTTCCGCGATAAGCTCGCGTATGGAAAAAGAATTAGTACCCCGGTACAGGAAACCGACATATACGTTACCGGATATAGAATTAAGGGTATCGCGAAATGTACAATACGGCGAGGGAAGTAATATACTAACAATTGGCCGACGAAATGAGCGATAACTCTCGTATAACCAAACTATTTTCCCTGAAGTTGCAAAAACTTGCTATTTTTGCCACCAACCTAGACGTGAACCTTTAACATTCAAAGAGAGATCAATGAACGAACGTCCTCGTCCGAAGCGGATGTTTTTGCGATTTAACTCAAAGTTATGAGGAAGCTCACGAATACAAAGGCAGAAATTAAGCGAGGATTTTGAAGCAAATGATGGAAATTAAATTGCGCAACGCGATGTGTCATAGGAAGGAAAGGTTACAGACGAACCATTAAAAAATTAAATTTTAATACAATCAGTTTTGAACATAATATTCTTTCATATATTATCATTAAAAGAGAAACGCGAATTTTTTGTTCAAATTAAAATTTATGCGTTTCAATTTTGTTAAAATACGTCCTTGCTAATTGTTAGCTTTTGTGTCAAAGAAGTCAGATGGTAGCTTTAGTAACTAATTAGCTGAAAGTAGTGACTTTTAGTGTCAAAACAACGATAAGAATTAATCCGTTTCATTTTTGCATTTGAGCATGATGACGCAATATTGCGAAACTGACTGTCGCACAAAAATATCTAACAATAAGGCGCTACACAAAGCGTACAATCTGTCGTATAAAAAATATCTCACTTCTATCCTTTTTCGCGTGTAATATTTCATTACTTTCATAACCACGTATTACGCAGCGACATTAATGTCAAAGGAAGAAAAAGAGTACTCGCTCGTTCTACAGAGTCGATCTAGTCAAGAATTTCAACAGCATTACCGTAGTTATAGACTGCGAAATTTCATGAATGCAAATCAGATAAACAACTTTCACTCCTTGAGTGGAGAAATAGTTTAGAAGTTATGGTATCGCGCGATTTATATCGAGCCATGCATGCGTATTTAAAAAAATAAAAAAAAACCGGATCTGAGAAATATTATTTCTAATATTCTTTAATTACATTCAGTAATGTCGCGATTGAGAAGTTCAATTAAACAGCATTCTTTAATCAAATCCAATTATTTTTTTTACACACATAATTGTAAAAATATCGTCTAGATAAAAATATTAATTTAAGATATTCTATAAGATTCTTTATTTTTGGAAAATTTTGCGCAAGTAACAAAATTTCTATAGCTCTAAGTTATAACTTTCGTAAGTTGATTTGCCGTTTATCAGAAATAATTTGCTTTTTTCGTAAAGGAGAATAGCTCTCCAATGTAGAATAGCTAAAACAATAATAAAATCAGGAAAGCGGCAGGAATTTACGGTAATAAATCGTTTACGTTGTCGAGGGCATAAATGTACCGCGACGAGTGCATCGACACGATTGCGGCAAATTGTAGGAGGGAGACGATAACGACGTCACGGCATTACTTGGAGATAAAAAAGAGGAGATAGAGGAAGAACGCAATAAGAGAAGAGCGCGCGGTAAGAATGTAGGAGATAACGAGTAGCGGCGGTGATATCAGAAACAGGAATTGCATAACGTTTGCGAATAATTGCGAGCATCTGAGATCAGCGTGTCACATGTCGCGAACATTAGTTCCATAGACATATTGTTCTTATAATTATTATTGCTTTATAATTACGATATATTAGCGCGACGCGATAATTTAATTTAATAATCCTCACCTCAGCGCGGTGAGAAAATTGCACGTTGCATATAACCAGAACTTATACGCTATCTAATGCATTTTGTA